AAACCTATTTTTACTCCCTGGCTTTTAACTCTGTGGGTAACTGACATTTTTATTGTTTTTTAACTTTATTGCTATGTTTGGTTTTATTATTATGTGCATATTAGTATTGTACAGCACTTTGGTCTACCAGGTGTGTTTTTAAAGTGCTATATAAATAAATAAATGATGATGATGATGATGATGATGATGATAACCAAGCAGTTCAATGGCTAAAAACAGGAACATGCACAAGAAGAATGTGTGCTTCATTCTACATTTGTTTCCAGACATCAGCAGCACAAACACAGAGCACAGTTTCCAGGATCCAGCTCCATGTCCATGAAGAGTGACATTTCCAGGGTTAATGTGAGAATGTTAACCCTAAATGGAAATACAAACTAAAAAATATTAAGTAAGGATTCAAAAGTGGGTTAAAAGGATGGTCCTGGTGCCTAACTCTCCTACAGCGAGTACAGTAGTTTTGAGAACATTCAGTGTTTTAGCCTAAAATCTGATACTGAGGGAAGCTGCTTAACAGGAACATACAAAGGAACAATGTGTGCTTCACTTTGTTTGTGCTTTCAGATGTCACCAGCACAGACACAAAGCAGAGTTTCTGGGATCCAGCTCCGTGTCCATGACGAGTGACATTTCCAGAGATAATCCTCCAGTCTTCAGTCATGAATTTGGACCCTCAGGCACAAAGTAATAGACTACTTCTGCTGTAACTACATGGTGGTAGCTAGATTGAAACCCTGGCAATGGCCTATTTTATAGAAAGTACAGTGGTGTTGTGAAAGCAACCAGTGCTTCAGTCCTGTGAATCTGAAATGAAGAACCAAGCAGTTCAATGGCTAAAAACAGGAGCATGCATAAAAACAATGTGTGCTTCATTCTACATTTATTTCCAGACATCAGCAGCACAAACACAGAACACAGTTTCCAGGATCCAGCTCCATGTCCATGAAGAGTGACATTTCCAGAGATAATCCTCCAGTCTTCAGTCATGAACCTGGACCCTCAGTCACAAAGTAAGAGACTTCTTCTCTTATAAGCTAAACTAAAGATGTTTTTTGTTTTTGCAGTCTTTGATATTATTGCATAATTATTTGTAGAGTGGAGTTGATCATTTGATTATACATCAAAAGATATAAAAAGACTGGTTTTGGAAGAATAAATTATCTGGCTAATAAAGACACTATTCTTCCAAAAGCAGGGCTAAGTTCTATCTTCCAAGATTTGTAGAAATAAATGGCAACATTTTATTAAAGTAATGGCTTCTTTCTTCTCTGACCAAAACTCTTGTTATGTCCTGACCTAGGGGAAACCAGAGTGCAACAAACAATTTACTCATTTTTATATCACTACACCGACAAATCTGAGCCACAGTATGAGTGGTCAGAAAAAGGTACTACACAGCATCGTGCCACAGAACCCTTAGCATGGTATCCCTTGGTGTTTGGAACTTGGTCCACCACACTGCCACTCAGTGAAAGAGAGATACTAAACTTTTTGTTCATTTAAATAGACTACTACACACTCCGGCAAGAATTTCTTAAAATATTTCTAAAAATAATACTTTGGCCTTAACCACATCATACTCCAAGCTTTAGCCAACTGAGAGGCAAGTACACACCTGAGCTTTACCCGACCTTCCTTTGCTGTTCAAAGCTTTGTCAATATGCTCAAATACAGCAAACTATGAATCAACCTCATATTCTCTAAATGGTGGTACTAATTTAATGTGCTTGCTCTCATCAAAGCCATCATGGGGAAATTGTGTGGCTTGTAGTGTGACTGAAGACTGGGTCAAGTTACTAGGCTGGTATTAAAGCTCTAAAGCAGGGGTGTCAAACTCAAATACACAGTGGGCCGAAATTCAAAACTGGAACAAAGTCGCGGGCTAACGTTAATATTTATTGAAAAAAGAAATCGTCCTCCAGATATAAGAATGAATCTTTTCTTATGGACTCAAACAAGTTTTGCTGAAAAACTGAATATGGAACAAGCAAAGCTTAATACTAAACAATATATATATTAGCTGTATAATACCAGTAGGCCAGCTCTAATAATAATTTGGTATGGCTTTGCGGGCCAAATGTAATTAGGCTGCGGCCCAAATTTGGCCCGCGGGCCAGAGTTTGACACCTATGCTCTAAAGCTTTTACCACAAGATGCAAAGCCTCCACTTTCTAATGCAGAACATCAGCTCCTCAGCCAACTACCATTGTCGGACTGGAGAAGCTATGGGAGAAGGTAGATAAGGGCTCCACATCACCTTAACCCGCTCCATTTGTAACAGCCACATCCACCAACAGCTCTCTTACCCAGCTTCGAAAGCTACAAGCTGCCACAGCTCTTCTTTCCTCACACTCAGCAGTGTTTGAACATGAAAAGGTTTTGGAGTAAGCATCAAAATATGTAGAAACAAACAAGAAATACCTATTGCACTTACCTGAATCTAAAAAGAGGGAAATGGCAAGGGTGAGCCCCCAATGATTTTACACTCTGGCCTAGGGGAAACCAGAGTGAAACACAAAATATGGCTCCAGTGCTCCAAAGGAAACTCCAAATGCTGCCAAAAAGTTTGCAGTTTTGTTTTTGTTTTTTGTTTTTTGTGCCTGTCCCATTTGGTTCTTTAGCCGTCAGAATTGTTGTCTGAAGACCAACAAGGATACCCAATGGATTTACTTTGCCAAATGGATCATTACGGCCTTGCCGTATTGGTCCATTTGATCAACCTTTGTTATTATTTATTTTATTTTCAGTTGTTACAGATGGTGTTCTGAGAAACCATCCTACTCTGACAAAACATCCTACCCGTATTATAATTTGATGGTGACTTGAGATTAAACCTAACCCTAACCATAACCATAACCATAAGTATTCCGGATGGGTGAGAGAAAAAGTAATTTGGCGTTGGTGTTGTGCGCATGCGCCACGTCTGCGCAGAAACATTGGGTAGGATGTTTTTCCAGGTAGGATGGATTCCTAGAACAGCGGGGCAGACATGACTGAGGGATAGGAAAAGGAGAAAGAAAGATGAAGGAAAAGAAAAGCAGAAGGGAAGAGGGGAAAAAAAGGGAAGAGGTACAGTGAGAAAGGGCACTTAAAAAGAGAGAGAAGAGAAAAAAAATCTCCTGGATCACCTGTTGAGAGAAAAAGAAGAGAAAACAAGCAAAAAAAACCAAAACAGAGCAACATACTAAACACAACACCATCACGTTAATCTAGCTAAGTGTAAACAGCAGATTAACTGCTGTGGTGGCGTGCCCGCCGGCAGCCAGCTGTGCCAGAGTGAACCGAGCCGCAGGCCCAGAGGCCGGAGGCCCGAGGGCCCGATGGGCCCCAGAAGACCCCTAGCCGGCCGACAGGCACCAAGCCCCGCCAAGTAGTCACCGGGAGTGAGCTGGTACATACCTGAGCGCCCAGCCCC